CTCGCTTTTGTAAGTAATCGTTTATATATTTTTATCTGTGATTGTCCTCAATAATGATTCATCCGATCTTGATAACGTCTTTATGTTTTTTAAATGATGTTTTCAGTTGATAAGAGTAGTTTAACATGTTTTTTTCGCGTGCTACCGAAATATCTGTCCCGTGCCACCTAGTGGCATGCGTGCCATAGTTCGCCACCTCTATCTGATACAACCACAAATTAAAATTACATATTTTCTACCCTTTATTCAAATAGAATATTTATAAATAATGATGCAATCACAAGCTTAATAACTTATCGTAAGTATAATGATTAATTCGATTTATTTTAAAAGTTTTATTTTTACTCTCCGCGTAATCTTCTTATTTGGTTCGTTTTTTATTTTGAAATAGTTTAGTTAATATTATATTGGCTTATTATATTTACCTCCTTTATTTGTATAATAGACCGGCTTAAATAATAAAATTGCAGGAGGGATTATATTTACAGAATTTTAAGCACGCAAAGTTTTAAACTCTCAAAAGCGAATACATATTTGCTTTAAAGTTTAAAAAGAAAATTTCTAGAACGTGGATTAAATAAATATTTTTGGAATGTAGATGTTCATAGTAAGTATTGGTAGAACATAGTATGTTCATAAATATTCTTCCCATAAATAAAACAAATTATATTTTTTAAATAAATTTAATGGGCAGTTATGGAAGCCCGTTTTAAAGATTAACTTATATATTTGCAATGTTTAGAAAATGAAAACTAAACAAATTGCTTTTTTTATTTGTTTTAAAAACATAAAATATAATAAGATATAAAATTTGATAATTTTTTGCTCATATAAAACGCGTGGAGAATTTTTTCATTGAAAAGTGCAATGTATTATAAAGACCTAATATGCGTAATTCCACACTTAAGATAATGATGCATTTTTTTAAATTTAAAAATGATATTTTACCATATTACACTTTACATTACGTAAAGAATCATATATGAATATTTTCATTATTATGTAGCTAATTAAACATTTAGAAAATACATTTTGGCAGTAAATAATTAAAATTTAGAAGAACATTTTGGCAGGAAATTAAAATAATCACTCTTTAAACCATATTCTTTTATTAATTCCTTTAATAACTAAGCAATAATAATTTTTCCCGAATTTGCTATATCAATTACTTATAATCTTTTTCCGTAACAGAACAAAAAAAAATCCTCTCTCTATCTCAAAACATTCGATATATAGTCAATATTTAAAACCTAAAAACTTCAAAAGTTCATGAAAGAGCACTTAAATTTGGATGAACCTATGTAGCTAATGTAACGTATAAATTGAAATTTCTAAACGAAATTCGAAATTAAATTTCGATTAACTATAAATTTTGCAGGTAGAGATCAAGAAATGAATGAAAATTTCACGTCATTGGACACGGTTGTTGTAGTTCCTTTACGTCGCACTAGAGCTGCACAATGGGCTATTGGCGACGGTCTGGGAAACATCCCTGAGGATGATCCGAAGACATGCCATCACAATTTTGATCCTCTGCAGAGGGGGTGGCACCCCCGCTTCGGTAGCCCAACGTAAAATCTAATGAAGTCACGCACAAATTTCGAAATAAAATACGGCGTAACTTAAAATTTGTAATCTTTGTTTCTAGGAAATTTAGCGAGTGATCTCTTAATTGGTTGAATAATTGCGCTATGGCTAACATTTTAATTTCTTTTAATTTTGTAGAGGAGATTTAAGATCCATAGCATCATCCTAATCTGCTGTGACCTACCAAGGAAAAAATTAATATTGGTAATAGCCAAAAAATGTAAGGAAAGAATGACAAGGCGTAATAAAGTAAGAAATTTTAGGAAAATTGAGATATTTTCAAAAACTGATATTGTGACCAAATTTCATTTCAATTTTTAATAAAATAAAGGGAGCACATAAAGTCTTTAGAGCCCAACAACGCATGTTTTGCTGCGCGAAATGTAAAAAAAAAATTAAAAAAATAAATAAAAAAAAATTTGGCGTACGCGTTCAGCAGAGTGCGCGTTTTTAATGCTGTTTTTCAAAGCTCTCTCGCCAAGGAAAAATTAAAATAAAGCCATAGTTTAAGCGCATTACACTTGAAACAATGCTGTGGTTTTAAACTATAGAAAAATCTTGGCGCGAAGAATTATCTGGGCTTTAGAGCAGACAAATAATTTAAAAATTTTAAAAGCTATTAAAAAATTTTAAAAATTGCTAATTTGGCGACATTTTTCCACCAAGGTAAAAATTATCGATATCATTGCCTTATTCTCAGCTTTCTTTTTCAAATTTTTATGAGGCCAAATATTGCAGCATTGGAGTAAGTTTTTAAAAATCAAAAAATTAGACTCCAAACGCTTTTCATTTTTATAAAACTGTGTTTTTCTTCATATTGCGCCATTTTCAAAATAAGCGTTGACATCGCTGGCTTTAGATAGGTTAAACTTGACCAAACAGTCACGACTAACAGTTGCTAACTCAAAGCAGTTACAAAAATAGCATATTATCCGCAAAAAAACATCATTTCATGTTAAGACGGAGCCTTCCAAAAAATGGTCAAGGAGGATTTTCCTTAAAATTCGATATTTTTTATACAAATATCAAATTTTTATAAAATATATAATTATCATAATTTCATATAAGAACATTTTGGAAATATGTTGTTCATAACAAAATAAACGATAACTTGGATTTGAAAAAATAATCAACTCTACTGGAAAAAAATATTAAAATCATAGAATGTGTGACACAATAAAAAGAAATAAAAAAGAACAGTAATTTTACTTGTTAACAATCTATAACAATTACTTTATACTGCATAACAGTTCAAACTGCAAACGGTTTTTTTCTCTCTTACTCTCTTAGATATTTTTAATTAATTTTGATATAAATGTAATGATTTATATATGCAACATCTACTCGCTGTCTCTTATTTCTTTCGTTTTATTTATCCATTTTGTTTTAATTACATTTGACATCAATTCAAGCGTATGTTAATAAAGCATTTAAAATTGAAATAACTTTAGAACTATCGGGACTTCGATAACAACTCACATTAAGCTCTTAATTGAAAAAAGACCTTTTTAATACATACTCTCTGCAGGCCAACTCTAGTTGTATTTTAGAGGGCAGTAGATCGTCCGGCAATTTTTTTTAAAGCTTAAGTTTAACAGATGATAATTCTCAAACAAAAACTTTTTTTTTATAACATCGGATTCCTAGTATATTTTTCTACAAACTATCGTAATTTAAAGTTCCTAAATCTTATAGATTTTGCGCAGCAAAACAATAAACTGTACAGCAAAGCAAAATAAAGCGAGAAAAATTCGCAAAATAAGCACTTAAAATTGTAAGAACTTTTAAACAAATTTAAAAAATTTTAAAATAAAGCTGAAGTTTATAAATAAATATGGATCTTTCAGCGTGCCAAATTTTAATTCTATAGTTGCATACCTGTGGCCTGTAGAGCGGCCCGCATGGTGTTTCTTGCTGCAAGTTTAACAATTAATAATTCTCGAACTAATTATCGAATGTTAATTTTTTTCGAATTACATTGAACTTTGTGCACATTTCTTTACACATCTTCGCAATTTCAAGTTTTTGCGTAGCAAAACGAAATGTAAAGTTAAGTTAAACACCACAAACAACGGTGGCCCTTACGATTTTAAATATATAGAGAAAAAAAATTACTAAAAGACGCGAAAAACGAAGGAATAAAGCTAAAAATTTAGAGCTTCAAATATAATATACTCGAAATACAGTCTGAGTAAAAACTTTAAAACCAGTGAAAACATTGAACAAAATCAAAAAATACAAAATTTAAATTCCTTTTATTTTTAATTATGAAACTATGTTGCTAAGAAAGCCCGCAACAAACAAGTTTTTTAATTATGGAATTATCAGGGGGAAAAAAGGTATGCACAAAATTAATATTTCAATCTGAGTAAAATCCTTAAGTTCAGTAATTTTTTATAAATAAATATTAGCTTTATTACCACAACTACGAAAATTTGTAAAAGCACTTGTTGCAAATTTGAAAATTGTTTTCAAATTTACCAAACTTTACTTCGAAGTTTTGATGCTTCAGCAAAGATGCCGAATGGTAAGAAGTTAGCAGATCATAATAGAAGATAGATTGAAACTTTTTCTTTACCAGGAATGAGTAGCCGTACTAATACAATAAAAACAGGAAGATCAAGCATGTGGTTAATAATTTCTTAAAATTGAAAGACCATTGGTAAAATGACTACCAAGGGGAAAACTAAAGCTATCTCCGCGTTTTTTTTTTTCTTATCTGCTGGAAAATACACAAAAATGAAATTTTTTCAAAAAACGATGCATAACACAATTAGAATATTTAGGAAATCCATTTATATAGCAAAATTGGCTAAAAATTTTTACTTAGAATGTAGTTACTATCAGAATGGAAGTCAGAGTGGCAACATTTGAAAAAAGAAATAAATAAATGCTGCTTATTATTAATAAATATATATTGATTTATTATACATATTATATGCTTGTGCACCAAATTTTCCCCTATTGAAGACTTTCAGTATTGATTGATATAAAAAATTAAATTGCCAATACCGTTGAGCCATATATACCAAAACTTTTTTACATTCTGCCCAAAACATGGCATGTTGTGGTATTTAAAACACATCACGCTATTTAATGTCTAAACTGTTCTTTTTTACACAAGTATAATTGAAAAGAATAAACAGGAATAATGAAAAATTAATACTCATTTTCAAGTGACTCATTTACTCAAAGCTTTTTAAAAAAAATGATAATAAAAAAATTAGGTTATTAATTGTATTGTTATCTTAGAGTCAGGCAAAGCTCGCAAGCGTCTAAGTAGTTAGCAAGACTGGAATGTTCCTTTTCAATATTGCAAATTCTCAAACAAAAGAATTTGGCCTACAATTAGACACACAAAATAAGTTTTAACATTCAAAATTATGCAGATAATTTTTACAGAATTCACACAATTACATAAAATAATTTTATTCATGTATACATAAATCACAATAGAAAAAAATAGAACTTATTAAATACAATTTCAACACAGATTTGTTATTCATGATATGTACAAAAGTATCTGTGCATCTGAAATTAATTAGTACTCGTACAGTTTTTACAAATAACAATATATAAAAATCAAACAAAATATAATAGAATCAGTTTAAGTAGTTTAAAACTTTAAACTTGTACACATAAAAGAAATGAAAATCTGACAATGTATATAATTAATCTGCAATTCTATTTAATAATTGATCAATCAATTAATCTTACTGTATTTATTTAATTACAAAAAAAAAATCATCTCGTATATTTTAAATATTTTTTTAAGATATCTGAGATGATACATTGATACTATATTTATACTTACTTATTGTACTTACATAAATGCAGTTTGTTTCATGTATTTTTTAATGTTCATGAATACAGTTACAGTGAACAAAACAAAATAAAAAATAATGACTGGTGATGGGGATAAAACTTAAGATGAAATTATTTCAGCGCTAATATTTACTGCAAATAAGAGAGCTACATAATTTATCACCAAAATATTTTGAGGAATATTTATTTATACACGCATAAAAAAATAATGAAATTAAATATTCAATCAAAAGTTGTTTTAATTAAATAGAAAAAAAGAATGAAAGAAAAAACATTGATATAATATTAAACAAAAAATGGGAAGTAAATATGTTAGCAACCAAGAACTTTCCACACATGATCTTTCAGATTGTATATAGCACAATTATGTATGAGAAATTTAAAATAAATAATGATAAAAAATATTCCCTTGCACTATTTTTTTTTTTCCGTATTAATCTAAACAAATAAAAATAAATTGAATAAATTCTGTTTCCCTGGTAGCAGAATCCTCGCAGCTCAGCAGTGGCTACTGCTGATCATCATGACATCTGCAGATTTTTTGTCTCAAAATACCTAACTGAGTTGGAGTTGCAGATATATATGAATCTATGAAGATTATGCTGCAGATTGACTCAATGAATTCTGCTACCAGGACAGTGTCAAATCCATGCCTTAACTTAGACATAAGGTCTAGGAGTTCCATCCAAATACTAAAATGGTCATATAACGCGAAAATGTTTATAAACCATGCATAAAAATTAATGGCTGCTAGTTTTTTTGTTATTGGGTTCAATAAACTATTGTCATATCCCAAAATAAATTACGATGATAATTTGGCAAGAACTGTAAACAGATTAAATTTAAATTAAATATGTTTTTGAGAAATGATACACAGTTGGGATGAAAAATACAACCTTTTTTAAACAATGACAATTACAATTTAGAATAAACTCATTCAAGAAAGAACACATTCAAGAACACTTTACAGTTTAGAATGCACTCATTTTGGAAAAAATTAATAATGAATTAGTTATAAAAGTTTTCAAATGATATACTTCAATTAAAAAACACTAAAAAGGCTGCGAAAAATTATAAAACTTGGCAAAAATAAGTAACCTTGCTTCCTAAGCAAACACAGAAACCATGCATTTTTACTGACTTCTAGTATTCTTTCATTGCTTTTTTTTTTTTTCCAAATTGTTGGTCTTTTCCAGGATACCAAGTAGGATTATTGAGGTTCTTTTGTACTAGTTATGGTTTGCTTACATCATAAAATATTTTCAAAAATTAGATTTTCTTCTAATTTTTAAAATCTATCCCTATGTAAAGAAAACCATTTGAAAATCAAATTTCTAAAATCTAATTGAATCTTATTCTTACAAGCCTTTCAGTCTTGAAATTATTTAAGGTTTTACCTTGCAATTCGTTAAGTATAAAAAAAAGTCATTATTATACAAAAATAAACCTATTGAAAGGTTCAATTTTCCATAGAAAATAATTTCCTCAAAATTTCCAGAAACTATTAACCTTTATTTGTTTTTATCAAAAGCACAGTTTGGTTTAAGACTGAGAGCTTTTTCTCATGTGGTCCACTTTTTTTAACACATCTCCATTAGCTTTCTGTTTATGAAGATTATTACTAGAAAGAACTGATTTTTTAATGTTTTGATTATTGAATGTTTTATTTTCATTTGAATTATCTTTGTCAATTGAATTGCGGATACACAATCTTTTATTTTCGGTTTTATCAGAGCCATCAAATTTACGTTTCATACCATTTGGATTCAAGTCTTTAGCAATTTTGTTTTCGATGGTTTTCATGGATGGATTTTTAATATTTGGTGAAAGTTTATTAAGAGAACTGCTTTCTAAATTGTTTTCGTTACAACTTGAATCATCAACAGATTCAGCTTCAAATGCACGTTTCTTGTCGACTTTTTTCACAGTCTTATTGTTCGTTTCATTTGGTGCTGAAGAAGGGATGTCATTTGAAGTAGCAATATCAGGATTTGTTTCAGTTGCTGCAGAATTTTTACTAGCAACAGATTTTTCCTTTGATTTGACTTCCGCCACTTTATTAGAGCTAGCTGAAGAAGAACTCGATGGTGATTTCTGTGGACTCAAATTCATTTGCTTTGTGATGAATGATGTTCTTTTAGAATTGAAAATTGATGTGTACTCATTTGATGCATATTTTGGATTCAGCTTGCGTTCCCTTCTCAATTCTCGTCTCGGTTCCTGGCGAGGGGAATTTTCTTCTTCAGCTGAAATAAGGATAGATAAATAAGTAAATAAAATAAAATTATACGCTAAATAGGGTAAGTTATGAAAAAAAGACATGATCTTTCTACATTATTATGGATTATAAAAGAAATCTCTTAAAATAAAAGTGTAGAACTATCTTAAATTTTTTTTATCAGAAATTCCATTTTCAACAAACATTATAATTGATGTTTTTTGTTACAATTTTGATCAGAGCGACCCAAATTAGTCCTGCGACCCCAATTAGGATCGCGACCTACAGTTTAAGAAGTGCTGATCAAGATTAAAGCTATATAATCAATAAAGTTAAGTTGCAAAAAATCACTAAATTGAAAATGTATTTGCAAATTAAATAAAGCTATCAATAATTTTGTTTCGAAAAATCATGTGATTTAATAAATAAAATTTTATTTTGCTTTAAATGAAATGCTAGTACTATAATTTCCCATATGAGTTATAATACTTACATGATAAAATAGATGTGGACGCAGGCAAAGATATTTCGGATGATTTTTCTTTCATTAGTGTGCCTTCGTAAGGAACATCCTGGAAAAAGACATCCTTTTTTAATGAGCAGCATTTAAATTTGGCAGTATGATAAATAAGTATAATGACAATAAAAGCTATTTTTTGAAGACTTATGAAAATCTTACAACTTAACACAATCTTACAACTTTAACATCTCTTAAGTACAATAATGAATATTTAATTAATTGCATACAATTTCTAATAAAAATTGGACATTCCTTATCTTTCAGAAATTTTCAAAAATCAGCCTATTATTAAATGAAGAAAATCTAAATCAAAATAAAAAAATTTTATTTTGTATTAGATATTGTTACATATAAACTGTTTTTCCATCCTTTATCGTTGTATAAGTTCTTATTTTCTTTTGTTGATAAAACAGCTTTGTTCTTAAAACTATGTTAAAATATCCGATAGTGTATCAATAAACTGTACACTGTTGAATGCTTAAATATCAATATAACTGGGGGATATCTATAATTTTTTGCAGCTTTTAAAAAAAAAATCAGATTATAAAATCAGTACTATTATTATTTGAAGATTTTGTGAGAACTTTTGCACAAGTTGAAATGTCTTCACTAACAATAATAAAAAAAGTAATATAATTTTCCTCCGTAAAGAACTGCCATTAATTAAAACTTATTTAGTGTTTTATTTATTTTCTTACATATTTTACAATAGTTTATTCTCAAATTAATGGCAACAAGTTATCTACGAAATAAATGCTTTAAAAAAATGCATAAAAAAAATTGTTTTTTTAATAACTTTTAAAAAAATCTAAAAAGAAAAAGGTGTAAGAATTTAATGAACAAAATTAAACGAAATTAACATGTTAACTAAGGAATTAAATTACATAATAGTTAACCTTCAAGCCATTTTTTCTTCATTAACCTTTGAAACTTTTTTAAGCCCTAAAATTAAACTGCTTCCACAAATATACAAGTTTTTCTATTTGTCCAAAGATTAAAGTGTAATTGAAAGAAAAAGTTTTATATCACAATAAGATAAAATGCAACAAATATTTGGTTGAAGCCTTTTATCAGTTCAACTGCCAAATACAAAAACTTTCTATTGAGTCAAGACTGAATAAGGAAGCTCTGGCAATATTTGAGAATTCATACTTACATATTGTTTTCAATCTAACAACTCATTTACCTTAAACTTTCTCTTATTTTATTCTGTTTACACAGGGTGCATAGCCAGATTTTTCAGCAAAAAATAAGTACTTTTTAAGCTCTCAAGAAATATTTTTAATCACTTTCCAAAAAAAAATCATAATTAGAATATGTGCAGTAATAAAAATTATTTCTTTCTATTGTTTAAAATTCTTATTTTATGAACATAAATCAACAAAATACAAAAACATTTTTAAATACTTTACATAATCATGATAAAATAACTAGCTTATGATAAATATTGCAGAGAAAATAGTGAAAATCATGCTTTTTTGTAATTTATTACTACAATCAACATTTCAAAGAAAAAACGACATTGAAAAAAAACTGGTTTGTATTGAAAAAAGAATATACTTTAAATCATATTTGTAATGAACTTAAAATCGGCGATCATATAGCTTAAGTTAGTAAAAAATAAAAAATGGAATCAATGATAGTAATGGTTAAAATTTACCTCGACCTGACCTATTAAGGACACGCGAGAAAAAATTCTGACTCGTCGCCACGGCAGACCCGCTCAGGAGAGGGGGCACAGGTTCGTACTGGTGAAGCCCCATCATGGCTTTTATTTAAAAATTCAAGAGTTACAAAATTTACAGTATTGGTCTGGCAACAGCCCCACAGAACAAAGGTAGTTGGAATCAATGTAGAAAATACATCAAAAACTTTTGTCAGCTATTTGCTCAATTTAAACAACTAATGAATGATAAAAAAGTTATGGATTACAAATTCAATGTATAACTTATAATAAAAGAGCTATTAAAAGCCAAAATAGCACCAGTAGCACAAATTACAAAAGTAGCACAGAAAACAAAATTAAGAAAATTAGGTTAAGGCCAACAGGCCCTTATAAAATTTAAGTGACTACCCTTCAGTCAGGCCAAACGACCCTCATAATAAATCACAAGAGTTAGAGTAAATATTGCACAAAGAGCAGAACTATCGTTGCTAAAAAGGGAACTAAAACAGTGCAGGACAGCCTAAAACTCAGTAGATTTAAAAATAGAAGGAAGACAAGTTAAAAAAACAAGTCATTATTATAAAAAACAAAAGTTTTAAAGTAAAGTCATTTAAAATTAGTCCCCAAGTGAAATAACCCATAAAAGAAGTATAAGATTAATTAAAATCCTAAAATTAGAAGATAATTAAACAAGACTAAGACATAAAAACAATACAAAGGAACATCCTTAAAACAATAAAATCAATCCCAATAGGGGAAACTAAAAAGTCACCTGAGAAGATAAAAATACAAGTTAAAATTAGGTGTACACAATTAAATAGTTTAAAGTTCGAGGTAATATTTAAAAGTTCAAAAGAAGTTAAAAGTTCAATGAGTTAAAACTTTAGGACACTATTGAAATGGACGTCAGGTTCCGAGCCAGGGCCTAAGAATCTGCCAGCACATCTTCCAATGTAGTTTTAATAATTTTTTTTAAGATGTCTCTACAGACCAGCTTTGTAAAGCACTGGTGTTGATCTTGGTCATTTAAATGGGTTCCACGGAGTGGCTGGAACTGGATTCAATACTTGGTTCAATAGTTTGATACTCCCCCACAGTAAATACAGTTTGGATTCTTATTAAACATTTTATGTTGGAATTCTCCAAACACTCTGTACCCAGTAAGAAATTGGTTTAGATAGAAGCCAGCCTGTAGTCCTGTAGTAGTTGGATCTTTAAAAAAATTGAAAGTCTGTAGGCCCCTCTCGGAACCCCGCCACTACAATTTCCATTGCTTCAGATTGTGTGACTTGATAATAGATTTGCTCTGGGTCTTTGAACTTGGGACCTCTAATTCGATTTGGCGGAGACTGATAGCTTCCTTAGCTGCTTGATCTGCCTCCTCGTTGCCAAGAATTCTAATGTGAACCTTGACCCAGTTGCGTGTAATGTTAAGCCACCATAGAAGTTTATCAATGATAGTAAAACAAAACTTTGTTTAACACTAGACTAGTTAACCAACCAAACAAGCATATTAATAGCACACAAACCAAAGCTTAAATTTAACTATTGCAATGATTATTTGTACCACCCTAGTTAAGTGAAAAGGAAAAAAACTGGTTTGTATTGAAAAAAGAATATACTTGAAATCATACTTGAAATGAACTTGAAATCGGCGATCATATAGCTTAAGTTAGTAAAAAATAAACAAATGGAATCAATGATAGTAAATCAAAATTTTGTTAAACACTAGACTAATTAATCAATCAAACAAGCATATTAATAGCACTCAAACATAAGCTTAAATTTAACTACTGCAATAATTATTTGTACCACCCTAGTTAAGTGAAAAAGAAAAAAAACTGGTTTGCATTGAAAAAATGGGAGCCCTACATGGAACTGAACTTGAAATCAGCCTTGAAATTAGCTAAAGTAGATAATAAAATATACAAATGTGAACATTATAGAAAACAAAAATTCTATTAATTACACTAATGTAATAAAAAAATAAGTACATTAAGAGAACATAAGCATAAGTTTAGCTATTATTACCCTAGTTAATTGAAATGGAAAAAATAATTAGTTTGCATTGAAAAAAGTAGGAGCCCTACATGAAACTGAACTTCAAATCAGCCTTGAAATTAACTATAGTAAAGTAAAACCTGAACTTCTATTAACTACATTAACATTAACAAAAGCTTAAGTTTAACTATTACTACCCTAATTAAGCTAAATGGAAAAAAATAGTTTGCATTGAAAAAAGTGAGAGTCCTACATGAAACTGAACTTGAAATCAAACTTAAAATTAGCTGAAGTAGGTAAAATAATACACAAACGTGAACATTATAGAAAACAAAAATTCTATTAACCACACTAATGTACTAAAAAAATAAGTTCAGTAAAAGAACATAAACATAAGTTTAGATATTATTACCCTAGTTAAGTGAAATGGAAAAAACTAGTTTGCGTTGAAAAAAGTGAGAGCCCTGCATGAAACTGAACATGAAATTAGCTAAAGTTTAATTTTTAGTTCTCAATATTTTATTATTTTTTTTTAATTCATTAATAGTGTTGTTAGCCTTTCAGCTAATATAATAAAAAAATATATATTTAGATATTTTCTTTGTTTATATACATGCATTTAGAGATTATTCTCAGAATCAGTGCTAAGAAAAAGGGAAAACTAATTCTGCCAAAAAATGATGAGTAATCACTGTTTTTGTATTATAATTTACTAGTCATAAAAATTACAATAGTGCTTTTGTTAATAAATTTCCTTAATATGATTATTAAAAATAAATGTTATTTTATTGCTTGTTTAATATTAAAATTTTTTGTTATACGCTTCAGCATGAAATTTCAAGCAGAATCTGTTGTCAAACAACCGTAACATATTGTTACAGATTCGGTATATTTGCAAGATATGTTGAATGCAGTATTTTAACGGAATCACATTGATAAAGTGGGGCTTAAAATTGGATATTAACAACACATATACACTTTTATAAGGAGTGAAAAATCTATTGCTCACTTTTTACTGAAAATAAGGAGTTTAATCTAATGAAGTATGAAATGCCCTTTGTAATGTGTGTTTTAAACTGGATATTGGCTATACAATTAAAATTAATTATAAAAGCTACTATTGATCTTTTTATTGAAAATAAAGCATATTTTTGGAAATTGTAATGAATGTTGACCTGTTGCAGAATAAAAGCATTTTATGAAAAAGTTGAAATGTATGTCTGCATAATTTAGTTTTTTCTTTCTTTTAACTGCTTATTAATTTCTACTTTTTAATATATTTTAACTGAAATGAAAATATGACATCAACAAATAACGCTTATAAGATGACGGAAATAGGGGAATTAAAAGGATATGTAAAAAAAAATCATGCAGAGACCAAATACTTAGAGAAACAATAAGTAGTAATTTAAAGAAAGTGCAGAAAAACATGCTAAGACAAACAAAAGGAGACAACAACAAATGGACAAACAACAAAGACTCAGAGCAAGAGCAATTATACATTTATTTACATGCAATTTTATCAACATTAATAAATATCCATTTAAAACACTTAAAGCGAAAATATTAGCACTATTTTTAACAATTAATCTTTAGTGATATCTCAAAGAAAGCAGTACAAAGTGATATGCATAGCAAAATATACATAACAAAACATGAAAATAAAATAATTGAAATTAAGTTTGTCCATTAATAAGTAGTATTTGTATTAAAAACATAATACTAGGCATTTTGCTATAAATAATGGCTACATTATTTCTGAAATAGAAATAAAAGTCTCAATTTTTTGTCGAATATGATTTCATGCAGGAAATTATATTAACAATGCTGCTACAGCCATAAGCATCTGGACAGATTTTTTTAACTTTTAAACTTTGAGTAATATATTTTTACCATTTGACTTGTTTTAAACATAGCTCCTTCAATACTTGTTTAAAAATATATTTTACAGCTACCTTGTTACAAAAGGCAGAAATATAAAATTTAAAGCATTAAAAAAATGAACAGTTAATTAAAGCATTAAAAAAATGAACAGTTAACATAAACAGTTCTTTCTACAGCCTCCCATATGAAATTGAAAATTTCAAACAGCAACACCACAAATATTTAACCATAGTTACTGAAATATAGTTATTTGAAAGAATATTACAATTATAGATATAAATTACAGCCATTGAGGGAAATATATTTTCCATTTTATTCTCCGTCCCTTTTAAAGCATAAATAGTTTTTATTCCCCAAGAATGAAAATTTAAAGTTTCAAAGGACAACATCATAAATAATTCTTATGCAAAGTCACTGAAGTTAAAGTTATCTAAAGAAATGCATAAAAATTGTATTTAAAAATTATACTCATGCAAAGGAATATAAATGTTTCAGAGTAATTAAAATATGCTATTTAATTTAAATTTTTTTCTCAAAGAAGAATTAAACTTTAATTTAGAACAATATTTGTTTCACAATTGTTTCGAGAAAAAGTGAAGCTATATATCAATGTTAACAAATTTCATAAAATTTACAAGAGATCTTAAATCTTACAAACGATGAATATTAAAGTTTTTTTCTTTCAACATAAAATTCAAATTTTCTTAACAGTCCACACCATAAATGTTCTTTTACAGCTATCAAAGTTAAAGGAATTCAAAAGAAATATGCATATTTTATAATTATCGCCTATGTTTGCCAGCAGGGTAACTTTTTCTTAAAAAGTAATTTACCTTGATAGAATCTGAACTTTTCTTAGCTTCTTTACTTCTTAAGAGTTCTTGTGCTTGAAAAAAAATTGACAGAATCATTAAATAAATAAACTATGCACATTAAAAAATTTAACTACTTAGCATTTAGTCATTACTTAATATATACTTATAATCCTGAGGTCCAAATAAAAAGAAGGATATAAGTTAAGTCAGGATATTGTAAGTGAACAAAAATAAAATTCAAACTTATAAATTGAAAAACTTAATCATTTTTACAAAATGATGTAATAAATACATTTCAAAATTACCTGAATTGACAGATTAATAATAAACAACACTACTTGTTTGTTAAACTTAAATATATAGGAGTTTATAATTAAACTGATGCTACATTTGCAGCTCAATCTAACAATTGAAATAGCATATCTGTTAAAGAGACCAAGAAAAATGTGGGGAAAAGAATATATAAAATTAAAAAAACAGCCAAGATAGATTTTTAAATACTTAGAGAATCAAATAAAAAACTATACATCCAAAGTGCTAAGTTCAAGTTTTAGTAAAGTAAGCATGCTGTAAACATCTTATTTACACATTAAACATTATAGAGAGAGAAGGGAAAAAATAAACATAAAACATCTAAGACTTTGCGACTAGGTGTGCAAAACATAAAAGCTTAGAAATAAATAAAAAATAAGATAAGAAATTAATAAATTCTACACAAAATAGCAGAATAAAGTTAATATGCAACACATTTTTACAAACAGCAGAAGAGCTAATAGCTATAGAATGAAGTTCATATACTGAAAAGCAAATACAAAAGCGATTGATAACATAATTAGAAGAAATAATGAAAGCATTCAAATATTTTAAACACAGGTTATGTTTAATGGTTCCTTTTTAAAGAAAAGAAAAGCACTTTTTTAACAAAGAATTATAGATATAATACATGACTATAATCAAAGTTATAAATGTAAAATAAGAGTCAATAAAAGCTAATGAATGGCTCATCAAAAAAAAAAAGGCAAGCTTTGTTCAAATACACAGTATAAAGAAATGTAATCTTGGAAAGATAACATAACAAAAAAATTCTCTATAATCAGAATTTTTTCAGTTTATTATAAAAGAAAACTTTTATATTTACCTTTGATACCGAAATTAATCCAATTATATTTGATGAAAAAAATATATTCTAGTGGAATTTACTCAAATGCTTAAAATATCTTTAATAAATTGTTCATTCTAATGTTATATAAATTTCCCTTTATGTAACATTCTTTAATCTAAAAATTCTTTATTTGGAAGGAAAAGGGAAATCTAAAAACATTCTCAGCAAAAAATAATGAATAAAATCGTGATTTTAACTATAAACATATTTTTTTCTTCAAAAATCTATTTCATAGAAAAACCTTTTTTTAACATCTACCTCTAAACAACAGCGACATCCAAAGAATGGCAATATGTTTTAATGACACAGTTGAAAAAGAAGTCGGAATATATAAAATAGCCTTAAATTAGCTTTAGAATACAAACTTATTCCAATGTTTTAGAAAGTCTGAGTAATCTTAATAATCTTGAATCTTTGTGTAATCTTAATAATGATGATAGAGAATTGCATAAAGAAACTATTGATAGCATTGCTAACATGGAAAAAAAATTAATAGAAAAGAAGAAAAAAAAGAATGAAAAACTAATTTTTATTACAATAAATAATGAATAAGATGATAAATAATAAGCCAACTTTTGGGTGATACAAGAATATTATTCTTTTCTAGTTAAATTTTGTAAGCAGCAATATAAAGGTTATTGTTTATTGTAATTTGTCTTACTTAATAAAGTCGGTCGACTATGCTTGAACATAATTGCTTTGCTTAATTTTACAATGAACTTAGTTTAGGCGTATTGCACATTTGCATACAGTGGTCATTTTTCCTGTGAAATGCATTTTTGATGAAGAACTATTATGAAACAAATAAACAAGTTTGTTCTAGCAAAGAAATTAAAGTTTGTATCTAAAATGAAAAAAAATATTACAAAGAATTAATATTTCACAAATTGAAAAAAAAAGTACCAGAAAATAAAGAGTCAATAAAATAATCTGGAAAATAGTAGATTTAATAAGAACTTGTAGTTTTCAAAAATTTTAAGTCATTACATAATCTGAATTAAAAATAAGAGAAATTGGAAAAAGAGAAAAGGGGTGGGAAATTCTAAACTAGTACGAAAATAAAAGCACACTAACCTTCTTTTACTGTGAGCTTTTTCTTGACTTTCTGATCACCTGGCTCGGACCCATCTTCACTAGAGAGATCCTCAACACTGACTTCATCCTCATATGACGACAGATCACTCGTATGCACAGAGCTCACACTAAGATCAGACGATCCTTCTTTATTTCTTTCGGGAGATGAGCAAAATCCTTCAAAGTCTGATGAGGATGATGAGTACAAGAAACTATCGTAAATCTCGCTTAAATCAGCAGGCTCTACTACACTATTGTGGTCTGATGCTTGTGTGTGAGAATCAGAATCATCAGAATCACTGCTGCCTTCATCACTACTCTCTCCTTCAGAAAAACTCTCATCTTCTGATGATAGTGTACCAGACTCTTCTTGTGTTGTATCGTCTTGTGATGACGACGTTGTTTCCGTAACAACTAAATCAGATGAAGGTGGTGGAGGTGGGGGTGGACGGGGTATGTTTTGTGGAGTCGAGCATCGCTCTTTTTCAGACTTTTTCTTTTTCTCTGACTGTTTTGAAGAACTTTCACTAGCATCATCGGATTGGGTATCTTTACTCATAGAGGAAGACGTAGACCCAGATAAACTATTAGAACGAGAAATAGTTTTGGCAGAATTATGCAGAACCATATCTTCTTTCAATTTATCTTTAAAAGATAATTTTGATGAATTTTCATTTTTATGCTTTTTAACAGCAGTTTGATCAGTTTTTTTGAACGACCGTTTCAAGTCGGACGATTTCTTGGTATCTTTTGCACTGGAATTTTCAGCAGAGCTATCCCGCTTATTGTGTTTACTGTAATGTTTCTGTTTTTTCTGATCCTCATTGGTTATTTGCTGACTTTTATCGAAGTCACTACTTTGAGATGAATCATAGGAAGAAGAAGACTGATGCACAACTTTATTTCCTTTATCAACATTAGTGGATGATTCTTTTGGTTTTGAAATTTGCACCTTGGAATGTTTTTCCTTATCAGGTTTATCAGATGATTTGCTTTTAGTTAGTTCAGTCTTTGATGAGCTTGGTTTCGAAGAAGATTTCTTTATAGAAGATTTACTTGATTGAGAATCAGAAGACTTTATTTTAATGCTGTCAACTTCAGATTTCTCTTTTTTAACAGGTTTTGATGAAGTACCCTTAGAAAAGGAACTAGACTCTTTTGAGGGTTTGGATAATTTTGATGAAGCGCTCTTGGAATGCTTATCAGACTGTAGTTTAGTTTCAGAAGTTTCTTTAATCTTTGGTTTACGTAGATCAGAGGAAGAACTAGGATGTTTTTGAGAAGAATGTATTTTTAATTTCTTGGATTTTTCTGGTTCGTGCTTTGGTTTATTATGACTGATAGATTTGGAAGTTATATTGTTAGTTTTATTATCTTCACAGGTATTTATGCCCTCAATCGGTTTTGTGTCTTCCAATTTCTTTTTTTCTACCTTGACATCATCTTTAAGAGGTTTCTTAGCAGTATCACCTGGTGAATCCATTTCTTCAGGTTTAAGATCCTTTTTTAATTTTGTTTCCTTTAAATCAGTTGCAGGTTTTAATCCTGTTTCATCACTGTCTGTTGATTCAACTACTTCAAGTTTCACTTCAATATCTTCAGATACTTTTTCTGATACCTCTGAGGAATCTAAGACATTGTCTTCTGAGACTTGTTCACTTTTAACAGAAACTTCTATATTTTTCACTAGTTGAGCATTTTCTTCTTCTTTCTTTTCAGGTTTAGGTAAGATTTCAGTTGACTTAGCAGAAAAATTGGCATCTTCCTTTTTCTTATCAATTCTTTGAGATACCTCTGCTGCTTTCCTGTGAACAGTTTCAGATTTTTGGATAGTACTTTGAGGATTGGATTTTGGTTTAGAACAAGTAAAAGAAAGAATATCAGCAATAGGGTCTGAAAGAAATAATAATTATTAAAGCAATCATATATAATGCTTAATGCTTAAATAAGCAAATGCTTAAATAAGCAAATATGAAGTTTGTTTTAAGTTTGATATTCAATCAAACTTGAGAATGTATAAATACATATTAAGAAAAATAAAGCTTGGAACCTATTAACATAAAATAAATAAAAGCACTATTATTAAAAAAATTGACAACTGTAAATTAGGAAAATAAAAACACACTTCGATGCATCAAAGCTTATTAATAATTCTTATAAAATAATTATTTAAGGACAAATGGATATCTTGTTGGCACCAAGCCCAAACCAAGAATCTGCAGATTTGGCAATCTAAACTTAACATAACTGCATCTTTTTATTTGAATCTGGGTCAACTACACTACTCCAAAGAGAAGAATGTAACTGTCTCATTTCTTAATTAACACATCAAAGTAGTCAAGAATAATACATAGAGCAGTAAATTTTTAAAAATGTCTATCTCAAAAGTAATTTTATGTGAATCCAGGATTTTGATGTGATGACAATGTATAAAATTACCAGTAAAAAATTTCATCAGTAATGGAACAAAATGTGTTTTCATCTAATTACTACTGAAGAATTGTTCAAAGTAATACAATTATTTTAATTTAAATTGAAATGGGAAGTTTAATAAAATTACGACTATAAAACTGAACACTTTAAACATGAGAAAGTGTCCTTCACAGAACTAATGCAGGTCATGAGAAAATAAACTATGATTCTTCAATAAAACTATACACCGGTACAAAATAAAAATAAAAAATTTCATTTCATTTTAAAACAATACTAGAATTAAATTTAGCTTAATTAAAATCAAGTATTTTTGTAATAAACTCTTTTCAATTTACTAATAGGTCACTTAGTATATTTACAGAGAGAGTCACAAATAAAATATATGACTATTTTAAACATTTTCTGTTTGTGGTATTACTATTTATTTAAATGTTTATATTTGAAGTAAAAATACTTTGTGAAAAATTTAACAAAATTCAAAAAATTGAGATCTTTTAAAAATAAAGGTAAACAGATTTTGACTATTTGTAATCTATTTTTAATTATGCTATATTTAATTAATTATAAATAAATTCTCACAAAATATCAAACTTTTATATTTCAGGATACAAATTTAAAACTGTTCCATGTTTTAAGTCACTAAAACTTCCAATTACAAAACAAATATATGCTTAATTTAGTTCCTTTTAGTAGTAGAGGCTTGTTATCAAAATGCTTAATGGGGGGGGGGAGGAAACACATTTTAAGTTTCTTTTCAGTGAATTTGGAAAAAAACAGCTTTAAAATGAGTAGAAACATTAGAAAACCATTAAAAATTATCTTCCATACCCTTATTTATGATAACAAATACACTGCCTCACACAATATTACTCAAGATTAAAACACATAAACACTTTAGCAATTTTTAATAAAATTATTTCAAAATACATCATTATAGTTATATACTAGTTTCATAAAATTTTTAAGTAAACATTTTGTTTCTTAGTTTATAAGTGAATTTCACAAAGTTGAAAAAATGAAATCTAGTTAAAATGCTATTACCAAGTACTGGAGTTTTTGTCTTGACTGATATTCCATCATTATTTTCTGAAGAAGAAGAAATATCATTGATTTGTAGTCTTTTATTCAATTTTTCATTTTCTTCCTTTACATATTGATGAACAACCTCGATTATTTTTGGTAAAAATAACTGGCCGATTTTTGGATTTATTACTTGCTCAACAACATGGTCAGATCCAAGACCTAACATTCCAGACCTAATTGAGAAAATGATAGAAATTATATACAGCATTAATGCAATTTAGTTTTAATAGTTAAAGCTAAAGTTATCCATTTTGCACAGAAATCTTAACTAAATGTGAAAAAGACAGTGAAATATTATTATTTTCATGCGTAAAAACTTACAAAACTTAACTTATGAAACAATCATTTTATCACTTTTTTGGAGTGGGGGCAATTATTTCGACACAGTTTTTAAAATCCCATATTTTTAATATGATATTATTTATTACAACAACGGAATCTCAAAATGAAACACGCATTTAGTACCCTCTTTTTTAAGAACCCGAATCGCATGATTTTGCCGTATGTCTTTTTTTTTGGTAGTTAATACTACGGATTTCACTATTTTTAAATATTATTAATTTCTTGATGTGATGATGATTTACAAAATGCAAAAAAGGAAATAATTAGAGTATTTTCCACTAACAAAATATGAGAATATCGCCATGATATTAGAATAAAAACGAATATAACATATTCTTTCAAAAAATATATATACAATTTCTTTTTATACAAATAGGTTTTCTTTTTTTCTTTTTTTTTGGAAACACAACTTTCTGTTACTTTAAATTTAATTAGTAACGGGTATATTTGTTATTAAAGTATGTTGCAAAAAGACATTAGTGCTAGAAAGGTTTATCGCAGAAAGCCCAAAGAAATTCTGCCACAGGGACCAAAGTAATAAATTTTATAATCCAAGTAATAACGATATCAACCACTGTAATGTCATATAAAATGAAAAATACAAAATAGATCAGATAGGAAAAAATATTACTTCACCATAATAAATAAAAATAGCTAAAGAAATTCTACTAATAATAAAAAACATTTTTTAAAAAGATGGCATTTATCCATTAGCTAGATACCAAATAAAACTTGAAGAAAATCAACAAGTTTCATTTGCAACACATCAGTCAGTTACTCATTTGATTATAGAGGACTTTTACACTCAATTACGACAAATGAAATAAAATGAACAGAAAAAGCATAATAATGAAAAATATCAATGTACAAGAATTTTCCTTATAAATCATATATTAATGAAAATAACTTAGTTTTAGAAAAGTAACTTGTCATTTAAGAACTTGGTGACCATTTTGGAGAAAGGATTTTTGCATGGTACTCAGTTAATGGATAAATAACATTATAACACTTGAGGAGATTTCTGTATTATGATCTGTAGCAGAATTATCTCCAAGTGTTGGCAACCTCCGGGCAGCGGCCTGCGAGAAACTAAAAAAAAGTCCCAGAAAGGAACTCAACGGACATTGCTTGTAGCCACCGCTCAAGAAACAATCTAAATTTTTTTTCTCTTTTAAAATCAATTTGGTACCTTGGAGATAGTAGTAGATGTGGCAGATCATAATACAAAGATATCCCCTAGCACTTAAAAAGTTTGAAGAATGAATAAATTACAATGGAACTATATAATAAAAAAGTTCAACAAAGAGAAGTTTAATATCATGAATTTAATATCAATAGCTATTTTTAAAAAAATATAGAAAATGTTCATACTCATCAATGTTTTTACGAAGCTTGTTCCGTAATTCATTTTTGTTCATATCTGGATTCCAAGTTTGACCTACTAAGAACTTTGAAGTGTATCCATCAACTCTTTGACTCATGTTTTGATAAGAAGACTAGAAAATAAAAATTATACATTTTTTTAAAAAGTCATTAAAAACTTAGGGTTGATTCTAGAATAGCCCACCCCGTGGTGATTTTTTGAAACCTCTCCAGATGATTTTTTGAAATTTTGTCAAACTAGGTTTCTGGGAGATATTCTGGGGAGATATGTCAACCAACTACTTTTCGCCTAAACTTCTTGGAGTCTGCTCCAAAAATCGTAAATCTGATTGGTTAATTGATATGTATACCTACACAAAAGTTAGATTTCGCTAAAATACAGGTTAAAAGGTTTATTCTTTTGCCATTTATGCTCCTGATCTTTTATTGAGTTACCGTTATTATTTAATTCTTTTTTGTGCTGTACCAGTTGAAAATGACGATCGAATTGACGAGTGAATTTTTAACTTTATTGAATACAAGAGAGCGATGATTGAATGGTGTATGAATCAAATTTTAATTTCAAAAATGTATGAATGCCCTGAGTGAGGAGAACTAATGAGTTAGATTGAGCGAAAGGATAAGGTGGGTGGTTTCGAATGGAGATGTTGAAATCGTGGATTGAACCTAGTTGAGCATGATTTTTGTCAGAGTGTCAAAAGATGAGCCATCAGAAGTTAGTTCTCCTAATATCATCAGTTAATTTTTTATTCTATTTTATTAAATATATCAGTGTTTTCAATACAGCGTGAGAGCCTGGCCAATATTTTTCTTTTCTCGCAATAAAAAACGCTTAACACGAGAAGTTCGAGCACTCTATTAATCAATTTCAAAATGCACGAATTTCGGAAAAAATTTCGTCTTTTGCCATTTTGAATAAAATCCGTTTCACTTTTTTTCCTTGATCTTTCATTATTTTGATCATAGGTCCTTGTTATCTAGCCTCCTTATTTATCAGTATTGTTCAGAACCGGTGCGAACAGCAGAGTAGTAGTTTTAATAAAAAAACAAGGTTGATCCAAGTAATAATTACCAACTTGGCGAGACTTCAAAAAGGAGTCAAGAGGTGTGCTATTCTAGGACTTCACCGAAACTTAATAAAACGATATATTTATGAAAATAACGAGCATAAGCAATTAATGACAATTTGATTTACAAATGCAAATTTCTTTCTTTTTTAAATTTAAGCTTGGTTCTACATAACATTGAGATCCTNTGTAACGGACAAATAAAAATAAAACAAATGTCGGTCAAAACGAAACAAATATGGATATTTTTCAACCAAATAAATATAATAGCCAATGAAAAAGTAGATATAGAACATTTTCCATATGATGATGCAGCAAGAATATTTAATTAGAAGATGTGAAAAATGTATTATAATTAAAGAAATAATTTTTTTACCAGTCTATTCGTGTTTTTTTAATTTTTAGAAATCTCACTTAACTTTTTGAAATCTCACCCTGTGTTTGAGAAAGGGTGAGAAATTCTCTCCCATTCCTTTTCTGTAATGAATACACTGAATATATTTTAATAAATTCGTAATATTTAAGTTTTTAATAAAAAAAAACAAGGTTGATCCAAGGACCACCAACTTGGCGAGACTTCAAAAAGGAGCCAAGAGGTGTGCTATTCTAGGACTTTACCGAAACTTAATAAAACGATATCTTTATGAAAATAACGAGCATAAGCAATTAATGACAATTTGATTTATAAATGCAATTTTTTTATTTTTTAAATTTAAGCTTGACTCTACATAACATTGAGATCTTGGTACAACGAAAGTACTCCACAAAATATTTACTAGTTAATATTTTAAGCATATTCGTTCCTATTCGCATTTTAAGTTAACTTTGCAATATTCGTGAACACAAAAATAGAATATACTTATAGAATCCTTTAAATTAAAATTAAAAAAGAAGATTGGTATCAATTATAGCACATAAATATAACATTTTGAAAATAGTATACCTTAGTATCTACATCAGCTAAACATTCATGACGAAATTCATCAAATAATCCTTTAGCCTTCAAATAGCTTACAATATTTTCTATTAATATTGGATCACCCGGGACAAATCTTTGGTTTTCCATTTTTCAACTATTTATGAACAGTCATGAATAAAAGATATTTGCCACAAGGCTATTTTAAGCAGTTTGTAATCATTAAGGATGGAAAAACGGAACACTGCAAAATATAAACAAAGAAAAGAAACTGTCAGTGATGCCAAAACAGTAAAAATTGTATTTCAGATCATTTATTATTTGAAATTATTTTTCAAAAACAAAGTTGATAGGATTTCTCCTTTGTATTCCCTCGTGAATTTTAGAATAAACTTTGCATTCGCATCCAATTTTTTAAAAAAATTTTAATTATTTTTCTTTATTTATGTGGAAAACAGACGAGAGCTCCAATGCGCATGCATAGGTTTTTGCTGCATTTGTCAGTCTGTAGTTTTGGAAAATCATAGAACTTCTGTAGTTTCGGTGTTGTGATCACTAGCCTCTACAATTGTGTAAATTCGTTTCAAAATGGCTTTAAAGAGCGTTGTTGGAGCAAGTAAGTATATATTCTAACTCTAATATACCATCTAATGTTTTTATTCATAACAATCCCTTCAATATGGTATTTATATGCCCTACACCCTAATAGACATTTAAAGGGGTGTGTTATTGTCAATGTTTACGTTTATCTCTTAAAATAAAGAAATGATTTATTCCAAACATCAAAATTTTTCTTAAGTTTAGAAATTTTAATATCACTGTGTATACCATTTCTGATTTTATTTATATATTTTTAGAAATCATGAACGACGTTATACGAGCTGTAAAGAAAAAAGGTGATTGGAAAGTCTTAGTAGTTGATAAATTAGGAATGCGGATGATATCTGCATGTTGTAAAATGCATAGAATAGCACAAGAAGGTATCACCAGTAAGTATAAGATCTTTACCAATGTGTCACATATAAACGCAACATACTTAATGTGATTGATGACAAGTAATAAAATGTCCTTTGTCCTCATTTCATTTAAATTTTCACAAATTTTATTCTTGGAAAAAATATAATTATTAAAAATGAAATTATGCCTTAATGACATTATTTAATGCTTATTTTGTTTTATTATTTTTATTTGTTAGTATATATTAATACAAGGACTAGGATTACTTTTGACAGTTGTAAAAGACATTGAGGAATATAGACAGCTGTTTCAATTCTGTCTATATTGATTATTACCGATTTTATTCTCGGAATAAGCATTATTATTAAAAATCATATTTTGCCTTAATTGTGTTTCTTAATGATTTTTTTTTATTTGTTAGTATATATTTATTCAAGGACAAAAGTTTACTTTGACAATTCTAAAATACATTGACTAATATAGACAGCTGTTTCAGTTCTTTTGAATAGGTATTTCTGTCCATCATATTTCTATTTAATTTAAGTATACTTTTATTTGTTTATAAATGCAACTCTGAAGAGTTCTGACAGTTGTGAGAAATTTTGACTATTTCTGCTAATTAACTAATTTTATTTTAGTATTTCTAACCATTTTTCTACAATTTATATTAAAAATATTTTGATCTATCCAAAGCGATAAAAATATAGAATCAGATTATATAGATGAACTTGTATGATTATAAATATTTATTTATAGTTATTTGTTGAAAAAATTATTTAAGAATCTGTTTACCACCAATCAGCATCAATCTTTTTTGTTATCTAAATTCTGTCAACTAAACTAGAAAAGAACGGAAGATTCTAAAATGTTTATTATATTTTGTAAAAGCAATTAACAAAGTGCAGCATTTGTTTTTTATTAATAAGTGGAAGAATTGTTAAAAAGAAAACATAATTTCTTTATATATATTTAGAAACTTTTACCATTACATTTCCAGAAAGTAAATTAATCGAAAGTTATCTACAAGAAATATCTCAATTATTTTCAATATGAGTTCTTAATATTCATTTTTTTTTTTTTTTTTTTTTTTTGTTTTTTTTTGTTNTTTTTTTTTTTTTTTTTGCAAGGAAACAAATTTTTTATTTTCATATTGGATTTAAATATTTAACACACACCTTTACTTTATAAGCATGAATTATTTCTCCAATAATTGGTACTTCTGTGTTATAGGCAGAAGTTTTAAAATAATTAATTTAATGATGTCTAGAATATATTGATTTCATGAAATTGATGTCTAGAAAATATTGATTTTCTAATGCAAATCTGTCCACTGTAATTTGAATTCAATCAGTCGAGTTCTCTCTCTAGCCTTTTTTTTAATGTGTCATTTATTGATTTTTTTGAAAATATTTTTACTAATTATGTTTAAATTTGACTTAAAGTGTTTTTTTTTTTTTTATTAATATATTTTTGGTCATTCAAAGGTCTTTAATTAATTAGAGCCTTGGGCTACAGCCGATAAAAACCATTGCTAAATCTGCCTCTGATTACAGAAGCCTTTAAACCTTTTTTCCATTAAAAAGTCTGTTTTTGCGATAATAGAGTTTTATTGCATAATTTCTAGGTCACTAAAAGATTGGATTTTTTTTGTCAACATAAAATATAGAAGAAATGTCACACAAAAAAATCTCTTAACAAATCAAAAATTTTACAGTTAATATAGAGTTGACACTTTATTAGAATTTAATGCCACTTTGTACTTAACTTAAGGGTACAAATTAAGAAAATTTAATATCTTGTCTATTTCTATGCCTCTATTTATTAAATTTTTTTTTAAGTAAAAAGTTAATAAAGTTAATTTAAATAAAAAAAAGCATATAGTACCAAAAATTTGTAATATTACAATTATGATGAAATAAACCCTTTTGTGACAAAAACAGATCCTGAAACATGAACCCAAAATTGTATACTATCCATTTACATTGCTTGCTGGTCCAGGGGACTATAGATAATTATTTTATGATGGTCGGAATCAAATTTTAGAAGTCTCAGTCAACAGTTCATTCTTAGTTTAGAGCCCTGATTTAACACTTCGCAACATTCGCAGTAAAGCTTTTTCTGTACATAATTCTAAAATATAATTCCTGAGACACTCAAAGATTACTTAGTTTCCTTTCCTTTATTCCCATCAATATAAAAAATGTTTAAAAAAAAGGCATTGAAAGTTTTGTTAAGAAACCTAAGCAGGCCATGAGAGTAATCAGTTAATTGTTGATTTTATATTGGATTATTATATTATAATAGGGTGCTTGGTGTTTTTAAAAAGTGTTTAAAGATACTTATTTTTGTTTTTTAAAGGCCTTTAAAATTGCTTTTCAAAGGCTTCATAAACCATATAATAATTTATTTCTGACATACGTTGAGCTTTAACTCATTGTATTCACGTTTAAAAATTATTTCAATCATATCATAAAAGGACTGAACCAGTAATAAATTTTGAAAAAAAAATTTATTAGTGGCCTTTCACTAATTATATTTGTAATATGAATTTGTTAAAGTTTGTTTTATTCTTTAAATATTTTTATAAATTCTATAGGATCAATAATATTAATCTTGTTAATATTTTTTTGAATATGCTTTTATAAATAACTTTAATTTAAATCTAAAAAATACGCTTGATAACCTTTTTAAATAATAGTAAAATTAATTTTTTTAGTTTAATTTTTTTGCATGATTAAATTAAGTAATTATTAATTTGAAAAATAGAATGTGCCGCTCAATATTTTAAATTTGTATATAAATTGTTTTTATGGTGGCTAATATAGTCAACAAAAAAAAGTTCTTTGTTGGGAACTAGTTATTTTATCCCGATCATGTTAAGTCTTTGAAAATTATTTTGCATTTTGTTAATGTATATATAAACTTTCAACAATAATAAGAAAAACTTTTTATTAGTGTGCATATCCTAATTATGATATTTTTTTAAAGTGCTTAAAAATAATTTTTTAGTGCTTGAAATGTGCTTATTTTTTGTTGAAATTTGACTACACACCCTGTACAATGTTTATAACTTAGCATTTTTCTTATCTGTAATAAGACTTTATTGATACGTGATCCCAGTGTAGTTTTATTTCAATATGTACTTTTAAAATTGTGTTACTTCTAATATTTATAGTTGTTGAAGACATTGAAAGAGCTCGCGAACCTTTACCAAATATGGAGGCTGTATATCTAATCACACCGACTGATAAGGTAATATTGATAACTTTTATTTTAATTAAATTTTCCTATAAATTATTTCTGTCAATTTTTTATAAAATTATAGTTTTATAACTTGTCCTCAGTGATATCCTTATAGCCTGTCAAATACGGGAGATATTCTAGTAAAAAAAAAAATACCTTGCCAGCAGATTTATGTAAGCACAATTATAACCAAACTTAAATCTAAAAAATGTCTTTCTCTTCTTTATTAATAGCTGAAGGACAAAATTAAAATAATTCTGAGTTTTAAATTATATTGTTTCCTTTCCTTGACACAGGAGATTGATCAGTCCTAATTAAGAGCCTTGATAGCTCGAAAATATAACTCTTTTCTTGTTTTGAAATTTGTGTTTTCATCTACCAATAGATAGAATAATTATGATTGTGCATATTAAAGAAGTAAGGAATTCATATTTTAAATTGGATTCCAGTTTTAATAAAAAGAGATCCAGAAATTTAAAAGTCCTATATATATATAAAATGTGGATATATGTAGGAACTATATATAGTCCTATATGTATGAAAGTGTATATATAGGAACTGTACCTGCAAACCTCCAAACCAAAATGTCAGAAAGGACAAATAAGGAAGCGTGGAAAAATATTGACAAAACAAATATGTAGATTAAAATATGTTCAAAACATTTGAGTGAGGCTTATATTCAGAGAGCTTTTTTTGACGATCTCTGAAAGAGATCTACATTCACAGTACACTTAAGACAATTTCAGTGATTCAATTTTAGAGTTGAAATTTAATTTAGAAAAAAACTGAGCATCTCAAACTAACAAATCTCTTCTCATTTTTTAAAGCTAACTAATTTTTATGATATAAAATTAATGCAAACAAATTAATTAAAGAAAAAACTTTACTGTTTATTTATTTAAAATAGTTCTATCCTTCAAAATTGGTAAGTTTATTTTTACGCATAATTATATTAGTAGGGATCAGGTGGCATTTCCTCACCAAGGAAAAGAAAATAAGTAAAATTACAATCATTTGCGAAAAATCATGTACTTTCGATAAGATTTTGAAGTTAATGGACGTAACCCTTAAGAACAACCAACTTTCATTAACTGCTATTTTACTGTGAAACAGAAAGTGGTCGCCCTTGACAGGTTTCACTGTATTATGTATGTATGTATATATATATATATATATATATATA